GTATGTGTGGAGAAAACCAGGCACTGCTCATCACCTGTCCAATACGGTCCCAACAGTGAAGCATGGTGGTGGCAGCATACTGCTATGGGGGTGTTTTTCAGCTGCAGGGACAGGACGGCTGGTTGCAATCGAGGGAAGGATGAATGCGGCCACGTACAGGGATATCCTGGACGAAAACCTTCTCCAGAGTGCTCAGGACCTCAGACTGAGCTGAAGGTTCACCTTCCAACAAGACAATGGCCCTAAGCACACAGCTAAAATAACGGAGTGGCTTCACAACAACTCCGTGACTGTTCTTGAATGGCCCAGCCAGAGCCCTGATTTAAACCCAATTGAGCATCTCTGGAGAGACCTGAAAATGGCTGTCCACCCACGTTTACCATCCAACCTGACAGAACTGGAGAGGATCTGCAAGGAGGAATGGCAGAGGATCCCCAAATGCAGGTGTGAAAAACTTGTTGCATCATTCCCAAAAAGACTCATGGCTGTATTAGCTCAAAAGGGTGCTTCTACTAAATACTGAGCAAAGGGTCTGAATACTTATGACCATGTGATATTTCAGTTTTTCTTTTTTAATAAATCTGCAAAAATGTCAAAAATTCTGTGTTTTTCTGTCAATGTGGGGTGCTGTGTGTACATTAATGAGGAAAAAAGTGAGCTGAAATGATTTTAGCATATGGCTGCAATAAAACAAAGAGTGGAAAATTTAAGGGGGTCTGAATACTTTCCGTACCCACTGTAAGACAGGAGGCTGATGTGGTACCATCAGTACAGACTGACAGAGCCCTATCAGACAAATAAGCATGAAACCAGTTTTGAAAAGGATAGATACGTTTATTTTCTTTACCCCTCCATATACAGTAGGATAAAATAAGGTGTTATTACTTGCACATCTTATTTAACTCATGTCTGTTGCACAAACAAACATACACAAAGCAAACAGTTCACATCCTTACCTTGCTCATCCAACAGGATATTATCTGGTTTGACATCTCTGAAAAAGACAAGAGCAGACTCATATTAGAACATATCTGTCATGTAAATAATTTACTGTACATTATATACACAAAACAACCTAATTTTAGGCACTGGAATGAATAAACTCTGTCACAGACATTGCAAACAGTCAGCTTTTCATCTCTAAGAGCCAAAAATAAAGAGCGACAGTCAAACCTTAAACAGTAAAAAACCACAGAGAAACCTGAAATGTGACATTTATGTCTGTTTAATCATCATTATCAACCTTTATTTAATGAGGGAAAACGCATTTTCAGTGGTGCCCTGTCATACAATTAACACCATCAAAACAATAATAAATATATACACATGGTTCAAATAAAACCAGTATTAAGAATCTCATAACACAAGTCACACATTAAACAATTAAATATACAAACACAATCAACATAAATAAAACATTAAAAACACAGTATCCAGATCACCTGTTACACTCACTTTTAAATTGTAAAGTGTCACGATCCTGCCCCGTCTGCTTCCTGTTGTGTGCTTTTATTTTGTATCCACTTCCTTTTCAGTCGCGTTCTCAGTTACAGACTCTTTAGTTAATCTGTGTTCATAGTGTTCACCTGCTTCTGATTACTCACACCTGTGTTCAACAGCTTATAGGCAGTGTTCCCTCACTAGAACACTGCCAGAATGTTCTAAACTCCAGCTCTGACTCTCCAGCCTTTAATTCTTGCCTGACTCTCTAGTTTTGACCTTGGATTGTTGTTCTGACCACTGTGTTTTGCCTATTCCCTCCCAGATTCTGATTGCCTTCAAGTGTATCAACCTTCTGCTATCTCCTACCTGACTTCTTGAGTTTGGATCTCCTGGCTGTACGTGGTTACCGGCGCTGACATTGGACTGTCTTAACGACCCGATATATAGATCCTGGACTTTGTATGTTTGTTTGTTTTAAGTAAGTAAAAGAATCTTCCTCTACCCCAGTTCATCTGGTCATATAATTGAGTTCACCATAAACACTATTAGGCAGCATCACACACCAAACCTGACAGTAAAGTACTATATAAAAGCAGTTTAAATTGAGAACATGGAATGAGAGTAGCCAGTTTTGTCTTTTTATGCAAACTATTCCAGTTCTATTCCTACTTCTGTATAAGCAATAAAGGGTTGCAGAACAAGATAATCTTGTGAATGGGTCTGGTACTTTGATGATTTATAACTCAGGAGGCATGTAACATATTCAGGTAACTTATTAAGTAGGGCTTTATACATGAATAACATACAAAGATGTTCTCTTTTTAGTGTAAAAGATGGCCAATGTACTTTTTGATATAATTCACAATGGTGAGTCCTGAAGGGGTCTAGCAGCATGGTACACCAAGTATCATCTATCTTATCAGTTAGCCAAGTCTCTGAAAGCACAAGAATATCAACATTTGTTTGCTGAACCCACACTTTAACACAGTCCATCTTTGATTGTAGGCTGTGTATATTCATTTGTATAACACCATGGCCCTTTTGATGAAAATAATAATGAATGTCCAAATCAGTGAGGTGATCTAACAGTACTGGAACCTTTCACCTCATTCCATCCCTTCTATTAGAGTATTTCAGGGGAAGATCATAGTCACAAGTACGAACCTTGATTACATCTAACTCAGACCTACTGTACGTTCAGGTTGATGACTTTAATCATTCACTATGACCATAATTTTAAAAACAGGTTCTTCATAGCAAAGGTTCGGACTTGTCAAACATCAATTGTGAAGCCGTTTTGCAGATTCAATTGTGAGCCCCATGTTACACGACTGTGCAGATTTAGATGTACAATGTACTGTGTTTATAAAATCCTGCTCAATTATTAAATGCCACAAAATTGTCCACAAAAGGTATGCTATGAGACATACAACAGTTTTTCAGCCAGATATGAAGTTGCCGAACACAATTAAACCTAATATCAGAGGACTGTGGAGATGATTAGGTCCAGAGATAATGCACTGTGTACCTGAATATTAAACTGATCCAATAAGAGTGATAAAATCCTCCTTAAGTTCCTCAGATTGTTGTAGTTTAATGTCATTAAAACCAGGATGCGCAATAATAGTAGACGCTGATGAAAATTGGACATGAATTGATTTAACTTTGTCCTCAATGGCTCTTATACCTGCACCTGGAAAACAGAATATTTCAGCTTTACTTAGTTTAAAGAGCCAGGTTTTTCCTTGTTTTCTGACTTATCTACAATGTTACAACAGTGAATTATCATCTTAGATGTGACCTAAAGCTAAAAAAATGGGGTGTATGTATGTATGTTCTAGTACTTCTATGCAGAAGCAACTCAGTTTATACACATCTCACAAACTCTTGCTCACAAGACCTTTTTTCTAACAAAATAAAGTATTATGTGAGAGTTTAACGATCTCCTTGAATAGTCATGACCTCCAGGCGGTTGCGCATTCCTGTGATCGTGCCTGACATCCACTGGTGCCACTATAAAAGCGGAATTTTTTGACTGTGCCCGGTTTTGTGGATACACAGTATTTTACCTCCTGTTGCACTGTGACCAGAGGATGTGGAGAAAAATACAGGGCTTGAGGTTACTGCATGGCCGGGAATGTTCCGTACAGTGACTCACAGTTTTACCTGACCGGGTCTAACCTACAAACAGCTGGCCAGGAAGTCCCCTGGGGCAGTGAATGATTAGCTCAACAATGCTGGATTCCCCCAGAGCAAAGTACCTGTTTGTTTTGACTGCTTGAGACCAGTGTGTCTGCAGCATGTGATGTGATGTGAACAAGAGGATTCTAACAATCTATGATGTTATTGTTGGTGCTACGCTACCTGTTGGAATTAGTGAATCAGTGTCTGGGCAAGACACTGAACCCCAAGTTGCTCCGGTGGCCAGTGCATGCCTTGCAGGGACAGTGATGCCATTGTGTGTGTGCATGAGATGGTGCCACAGATGGCTGCCTCAGTTCTGTACCAGAGACAGATTTCTTGTGTGTGTGTAACATACTTGGCCAATAAAAGTGACTAACATTATCATTCAGTCACATGCTTCATATACTGTACATCATAACTTTTCCAATATTTAGACTTTTCTTTCTGGAGCTCTGACAGGATTTTTATGCCAAAGTTATTTTATTTCATTGAAAATATGCATAAGTATAAGCAAATGGAAATGCACTTATTCAACTGTTGCCATTTGTGAAAGTGTTTCATATTCAGGACATACAGTATGCTAAATGCTTCATTTGTTCTTACAGTATATTTTTCAGTTAAATCACAATCAAAGTTTGTGGTCAGATGAGAAAGAGCGGGTTTACATAGCTGTGTACAGTATGTGTAGATGTGAAAATCTGTAGGTGTTTGTGTACTAGTGCAATATGTTAAGTGTGGTGTGTGTATGCGTATGTATGTGTGTGTCAGTAAGAGAACAAGAGAAAAGAGAGGGGGGAATTCTCATTCCCTGCATTGCAAACATTGCCAGTGTACATAAGAGCACAATCATCACCAATACCCCTGGAGGCTCTGACAGGTTTGTCTGTACATGCTTCCTACACCATAAACAGAATCAGACACACACACATATTTCTCAGCCCATCCAAACCCTCCATAGGCATTTAATGATGCACAAACAGCTTATTTAATTATGCTGCATGTCACACTGGTGTGGAGACTGCACATGGTCCACAGAGAGCATCTACATACCTCATAGGATGGATGCATGTGTTCACTGTGGCTATGCAACAGTAAGCTGCTGCTAATATCATCTGCCAAAGCTATTTGGAGAGGACAGCTTCCAACATGACACAGTATGCGAAGTGAATTATTATTTGTATAGGGACAAACTGCAGAGCTTTTAAAATATTGACTTTATGATGAAGACAAATGAGGCATCTCTGTTTAGAGAAGAGACAGGAACAGGAACGCTATGCTTTTACTTAATTTCTTCTCACTGGACTAATTTTACCTTATTGGGCATGGTGGCAGGACTGTTGCTAGGACACCAGAGACCCTTCTTCCCTCGGTGCAACAAAATAATTGCATAGTATTCTCCTGTCAAAAACTTACAGGGTGGAACAAAATTGTAGCGCTTGGGACAACCATGGATACCCGGGGATTGGATTGTGGCTCTGAGCAGACACAACTGTGTCAGAGGCAGAACTGTTTATGTCAAGGAGAGAGTGAAAGGCATTGAAAAAAAAAGTGTGGATACAGTAAGCAGCATCTGTCACATATTTGTTAAGGCAGTTTTGACATGTACAACCTGAAAGTAGGGAAAAAAAGACCTGTTGTGTAAAACGTGGGAGAGCAACTGACACAATTAAATTACATAGCATTAAACACAGCTGTTATGGTATATTTATAGACAAAACATGAGAAATACTGTGTCATGTATACACACAAACAGCTTACTGTAAGCACACCTTTATGGGGTGTATGCTTGTTGGGTACTAAAGCTTGAATTTAGCTTTTAATTAAAGGAACAGTTCAAACATTTTGGAACATACACTTATTTACGGGCAGCACGGTGGGTAGCGCTGTTGCCTCACAGCGAGAAGGTTCCGGGTTCACAACCTTTCTGTGTGGAGTTTGCATATTCTCCCCATGCTTGTGTGGGTTCTCTCCAGGTACTCCGGCTTCCTCCCACTGTCCAAAGACATGCGGCTTAGGTTGATTGGTGACTCTAAATTGCCCGTATGAGTGAATGTGTGTGTGTGGTTATTTGTCTGTGTGTTGGCCTTGCAATGGATTGGCGACCTGTCCAGGGTATACCCTGCCTTTCGCCCGATGCCGGCTGGGATTGGCTCCAGCCCCCCGTGACCCCGTTCGGGATTAAGCAGTATAGAAAATGAGATGAGACACTTATGTACTCTCCTGAGGCAAGAAGATCAATGTTACAAATTATCAATGAGTCTTGGAGTCTTGAATCACTGTGAGGATGCTGGGCAACCAGCAGAGACTGAGAAGTCACTGCTTCCAGCCAAGAAATATAACAGTGTGTAACTCCCAGCAATAAATGTG